ATGGGGAATGTATTACAATGGGTAGTGTGAATTGTATTACAGAAAGTGATGTGGATTGTATTACAATAGGTAGTGTGAATTGTATTACATTAAGTGATGTGAATTGTATTACAGTAAGTGATGTGAATTGTATTACAGAAAGTGGTGTGGATTGTATTACAATAGGTAGTGTGGATTGTGTTACAGTAAGTGATGGGGAATGTATTGCAATGGGTAGTGTGAATTGTATTACAGTAAGTGGTGTGAATTGTATTACAGTAAGTGGTGTGGATTGTGTTACAGTAAGTGATGGGGAATGTATTGCAATGGGTAGTGTGAATTGTATTACAGGAAGTGGTGTGGATTGTGTTACAGTAAGTGATGGGGAATGTATTACAATGGGTAGTGTGAATTGTATTACAGAAAGTGATGTGGATTGTATTACAATAGGTAGTGTGAATTGTATTACATTAAGTGATGTGAATTGTATTACAGTAAGTGATGTGAATTGTATTACAGAAAGTGGTGTGGATTGTATTACAATAGGTAGTGTGAATTGTATTACATTAAGTGATGTGAATTGTATTACATTAAGTGGCATGAATTGCATTACAGTACATAGTGTGAATTGCATTACAGTACATAGTGTGAATTGTATTACAGTAAGTGATGTGAATTGTATTACAGTAAGTGATGTGAATTGTATTACAGTAAGTGATGTGAATTGCATTACAGTAAGTGATGTGAATTGCATTACAGTAAGTGATGTGAATTGCATTACAGTAAGTGATGTGAATTGCATTACAGTAAGTGATGTGAATTGCATTACAGTAAGTGGTGTGAACTCTATTAAATTAAGTGGTGTGGATTGCATTACAGCAAATGGTTTAAATTGTATTATAGTAAGTGGTATGAATTGTATCACAAGTGTTTGCTGTGAGTTGTATTACAGTAAATAGTATGCATTGTGTTACATTAAATGATGTGAATTGTATTACCCCACCTTGTATGAACTGTATTACGGTAGCGCTGTGTAGAAGTGTAAATTGTAAGTAAAAATGTGTCAAATGTATGTAAGCCTTTATTGTAATGTAAAACTACTTAATCTTGTGACATCGGATTAAACACATCTCAAATCAATAGAAAGCTAACAGTTATGTTGGTGAGTTTTATGAGGTATATGTTGTTTGGTTATATTTATAGAATTATGATTGAAAATAATGTTTTCTGTGCTTGAAGTGCATCTTATTTATTACATTTGCTTATTGCAGAAAGTTGCAGACATTATTTCTATGTGACCTGCCAGCGGTGAAGGATATAGAGTCAACCATGAATTCATTACGGATGGCAATACCACAGTGTGAAATCTCATATCTTTCACTTGAAGGACTGAAAGATTTGAAAAAATTAAAAGATGTGAAAGACATTTTGAGTAACTTGACTAATAAATAACTATAAGAGACTCAGTCTGTAATTTTATGAATGTTTATGTGATTTAGTTCCATGTACAGAATTATCATCTAACCATAAAATTAGTCTGACAGTTGAATTATGATTATTGTGGTGTCCCTGTAATTCAGGCTGCAGCTTTGAAGGATTTACGAACCAGAGTGCCATCTTGTGTCGAAATGAGTTAAAGCATGTGTGAAAATAAAACCAACATGGTTGCCAGATTACCAGTTTGAATCAAATCACAAAGCATCAGTAACCCACCATGTGTGATGTTCATATAAAGTTTGAATAAAATTGGCCCAGGCAGCCTGAGAAATGTTTTATAAGTTCAGATTTTGTGATATTATTTTTATTACTAAAATATCCATCAGTCATTCAAATTTCACCAAAATGCAAAAATAACTGAAGACAAAATTCACTAACATTATGTCTTGCCTTTACCCCAAATTTAACTGGTGAAGAGTATCTGAAAATGGATACTAGTAGGACATGCAAACATCAGAAGTTTTAAACAAAAGGAAAGGTCAATGAACATAAATAGGTGCATACATACCTTGTTTTAGTGTAAAATTTGTCTAGGCATGTCTAAGAAACAGTATACTATATTCAAAATTGTAAAAGCATTGTGTGCCGTATTTTCTACCCAGTAACTACAAAATAGGTGCAGTGACCCATGTTTTTCTATTTTTATAAAATCGAGGCACAATGTTCTTAATAGGTAGTTAACCTAACAACAAGTTGGGAAAGCAGACTTAATTTGGCTCTTTGCCTGCCAAGTTCAGATTATTCAGCCATCATCTCAACATGTACAATGTACGTCTTTCCCATTACATCACAAGGCTTCCAGTGTGAGATACTCCATTCATATTGCCTATGGGGAATTCACAGCTTGCCGTTCATAATGACATGCAGCTGAAGAAATACTCTTTGGTCTGCAGATTCTGTCAAGCAAGTGTGTAATAAAGTGTTCTTCTACTTAAAGATAAATAATACTTAAAATTTATTTCAATTTAAATCTTAACTTTTGAAAACTAGTTTGGTCTGCACATTGTCCCAGTGCACTAATTTAGATGTATCATTGAAAACTG